CAGTACTTAATAAAAATGCAGATCGAAGGTAAAGATTTACTCTTTCAAGTGCCCATAAATCACATTTTTGTGTGAATTTTATTTCACGCCATAGATCTTCGTAAAGTTTGTAAAAATTTTTCAGATTTGACGGGTATCCATTTGTATCCGTATATCTCCATAAAGAATCAGTCAGATTGAAATATCAATTACCGATTTCAAAAGTAAAAATTTCAAGTTTTCAAATGCTTTTTCAATTTTTTGTCTGCGATAATTTTTTACCGAGTTATGGTATTCTGAATATTACGCAATTTTAAGGGTGTTCTAAAGTGTTCCCTATTTTTTGGTGAGTAGTGTATATTTGTACATATATTTATCACATATCTTAATAAATCATTAAATCGACCTTATTGATATCATCGTATCGCATGGTTTTAAGATAAAGTTGCCGATATCATTTTCAAATTTCTTGTTATTACAGAAACGTTGCAGTGTGGGATAAATCGACTTTGTCACGTAATGTTGTGACGCTTTTAATTATTAAATATATTGTTAATAATTATTATTAATTTCTTATTAAAATATATTTTAATATTTGTCAACTGCATAACGTAAAAATTTAACGTAATTTATTATAAAATGCGTAATTCGTGAGATTTGTTTAATCGAAATTTGTCACCATACAGAGCATTCAGCCGTGTGGCTGTATTTTTGGATTGCATTCCGTAGATTTTTACATTCAATTTTAACTCGCGCATTTATTCAATCGTCCAAAAATGCGGGTGTTGAAAATGCGATTGACGTATTTCGGTAATTGGCACGCGAGTGACTGAAGTTAATCGTATTTTAGTGAGTAGATGTTATGTTGTTTTGAGTATTATAAACGAGCAGCAACAAAGATGGAGGAACCAGAAGCGAAGGAGACGCGGCATCGTATTGGTGTAAGTCAGATTATTGTTAAAATAAAAAAAATTGAATAGCGTGAGAAGACTTGCATTTTCTCCAATAACATGTAGTTTTCTCCAACACATATAATTAACAGACGTTGTAAGTCCAAAACACAAAAGGTTTGTTTTTTATTCTTCCATTAGGCTACATTAGAACTCTCTTTTTTGCTTTCGCCAAATATTAAATATGTACCTATGACACTTGAAGTGTATAATTCAGTACAGAAAATAGCCCTAATATAGGTGTAGTAAGTCTTAAGAAATTGATCACAATCGAATGTGAGAAGAATAATTGACTGTGGTTAGTCAGTTGTTGTTGGCTTAAAACTCATTATTATGTTTCGGGACTAAAGATGTTTTTAAACATGTGTCATGGGGGTTACTTTCTTTTCTTTCTCAAGTATTTAAACTAAAAGATCATAAGCTAGAGATATTTCGGGTCTGAAGTACGGAATTCACAAATATAATTTAGCAGTGCTTGAAAGCATTGAAACTATCGACCTTTATCTTTTGCGTCTGCAAGAGGAATCTCTGGTACGCGGACTACGCATAGTTGGCTCGAGTTTGCAGCTAGTTCGTAGTAACTGTAGTAAGTGAGCACTATCGTATTTGGGAGCGAAGTATTTGCGCGCGTAAACAGGTTCCGTCGAACTGGCGAGACGAAATCGTTACTTCGCGATCGGAAGTATCCGGAAGTATCGACGATCTCATCAATTTCCGCCTCAACTTGCACTGCATCGCTCGCGCTCTTCTCCAAATCAATTGAGACGAAACTTTGTACGATCGCGTTCGTCTAATGGAAACTGTAAAAAGGAAACTTCATGATAGAAGAAAAAATCGTGGCAGGAACGACGCTTGATCTCTTTTGTCTGGTTTGAATTTAGTTAAATATAATACACGATTATAATAGTTAATTCAACTAGGCAGTAGCTAAGTACAGTCTCTTTATTGTAACACAAAGCAGTTACTGTGTAGCTTAAATCGCGTTTAAAATGGTTAGATCATTGATAGCCCGAGATTCCGTCAGCATGACAGCTTGACTTGATCAGTGTTCTTGAAGCAGAAATTACGTGAAAGACATTTTTATTTAGAGACAATTAATTGCACGATTTTTATGGACTGTTTATTGATGCGAATAATTGTTCTGTTTGCGATAAACGATGGAAAAAGTTACGGGTGATTTACAGCTCGATAATTTTCGACGACTAAACTTCAAGCGCTGGCGGCATGACCGCAAAGTTCCGTTATTTATAGGCCAACCTGAGTTCTCTTCTGGGGTGCGTTCACCGCGCGATCGCAGCCAGATTCCAGCGTTTATTATGTTACGAGACGCGTGGTGCTATGTTATGTGAAGAAATTCGCGCGACTGAATATGTTCACGCACGTGGGCCGTGTATCGACGCTGACAAAATTAAATTTTTGGATACCGTTCTGAACGTGACATCCGATATTTCGATTTGAATTTCACATAGCACTTAGGAAATTATCGCCACGAGAGTTTCATTCGTAATTTTGACATCGCGTCGTACTGTTAGTTTTTCACGATTTAAAAAAAATATTTTCCAAATTATGTAAAAATTCATTTCTACATAATATAAGGCGTACTATTATATTTTATATTACAATATAAGCTTTTTATTGACAGTAGCAAAGAATTATACTTACACGGAAAACAGTTTTTGATGAAACATTCGATCCTTTTTAGAAATTTTATCATCGATGTATCACGGTTTATTTAAAAGCGCAAATTTTGGCAATGACGTGGAAGATGACGTATCTATGCTTTAGTGAAAAACCTTTTTCTAGATAGATGACGACGATGTGTATAAATATAAACTAGTGACGGGATAAATACGCGGTAATATTTTTACACTTATACCAATATACAGTCTAATTTTCATTCGTAGAATATTTGTTTAACAATTATGGATGTTACATTAGGATGTTAAATTCTATATATTAATTCTAAATTTTATGTATTTATCTTAAAGTTATAAATTATTTTTATTTATAATTATGTATTATGTAGATTAACTGATCCGTAAGATTTCAACATTGATAAAACCTACACCTTTGATGATTCTAGAAAGTCTCTGTTTTTCATGTTTGATTTTCAAAAAGTTATAATACGTGATTTTTACATAATTAAAAAGATTTATTTTTTGAAAATCTTAACCGTAGGTTTTATATAAATGCATCAAATAAATTTTATTATGTACGTGACTGTTTCATTATTCATCACAAAATAGATTGAAATCACAAAATAGATTGCTTTCAAAAACTTTGAAGAAAGCTTATAGTCTATATTTTTATTGTTAAACTTATAGCCTATATATTTTGATTGTGAAAATCAGGATTATAGTTAGACTCTTCATGTGTGCTGTATACATTTTGTATCTTTTCTCACATTATTGAAAGGAAAAAGAAAAAGAAAGTTTTAAACATCTCTCGAGATGTAAAAGAGATTGAAGGAAAGAAAAACAAATATATGTATATATATATATATATATTCCTATTAACAATGACGTTCTGATAAATATTTTAATAACAAAAAGGTTGTACATGTCGTAGAGCTTTTATTATAATTTTTGTATTCAGTGAGCAAAAAACAATTAAAAATTTATTTGGTTCAAATTATCAAAATAAATTTTATTTGTTGAATGTTATTCATATTATTAATGCAACGATAGTAAATTATGCACATGACATTAGTGTTACGTGAAACCAGATATAATAAAACAATAATAGCGTTGAACGACGTCATAAAATGTTATTATGTTCGGCCTCAAGAGACGTTAGGGAGTGTTATAGTCGTTTATGACACTCACAGTAGATGCGACATTGAACTTAACTCGTTAATAACTTCCGGTCATGATTGAAACGAACGCAAGTATATTGTGTTATACAAAATAGCTAATGTGTTAATGAAGCTTGTAATTCATTTTTGTTAAAAATTGCAAAATGTATGTGTATTATGTGTTACATTGTTTTAAAAACCCAGACTCACAGAAATTCCAAAAATATAGTGATCTTTTAAAAGTAGAAATTTTAAAAACCTTTTAAATTTAAATTTTGTTCACTTTTAACGAAATTATATCTGTTTGAATTTTGAAGTTCGTAGCGATACGAATTTTTGATCGGACCCAATATATTATTGACAATTTAAATTTCTTATTATAGAGTACAATAATCAGAAATTAATATTAGCATTGAAAGATGTTCGATTAAAAAATGGAATGTACAATAATATATCCATGTAAAATTAATTAGTTTATTTGGTAATATAATAAAAATTTATTTTTTTTATACGATACACAGTATAATTTTTTTGGTACTTATATTAATAAAGATTGTTTATTACTCTTCGGCTTGTACTGTAGCATAAAAATAATTATCTTTATGTTTCATGCAGATTGAAATAACTTTGAAGAAACGAAGGGATAAATTATTTAATAGATTTGCGAGTTTCATGGGCATTTCTTGTTATAACTCGTAACGCGTTAAATTTTTATATAGACTATGATTACGAAGGGCAGATTACGAAGGGCGGATTACGAAGGGCGGATCTATAATATTAAATGATCTGAAATATTTGAGGGTCAAGCGGTCAAGTAACGCTTGTTACAAGGTGATCAGTTACAAAATTTTGTTTTTTTTAAAGAGCTTTATTAACAAAAATGAGCAAAATTATTAAGATATAATTGTGCCAATTTTGAAACATGAAATATGTGTTATGCCACCGTTTTCTTGTATGCGATTTTACACATGTCTGCTTAGCAAATATTTTCGTTGGCGTTGCACTACAAATTTTACAACCTACCAGTAATATTTTCAAAAGAAGTTTTGACTTCTAAATTTGTTCAAATATCCCAAAATTGATCAACAATTTTTTATGATATCGAGTAATACCAATAGAATGTCCAGTATAGTATTTAGCTTTGTTTTATTTATTTCTTTTTACGCAGCAAGTGATTTGAATGTAATTTAGAAAAAAAATTTAATTTAGAAAGAGAAATTAACTAATTGATTTGAAATTGTTGGTGTAACGTTATAAAATCATTAATGGAAACTCACCTAGAACGCAAGACGTAAGAAGAATTCGGAAAACAAACCTCTTCATGGTACAAAAGTCTTCGATAGCGCCGATGCGTAAGTTTCGATTTCAGCAGCACACTGAATTGAGATAACAGCAACGCGGTTTACGTTAAAAACACGCGTTCCTATCTATATTTAGATCGCACTTCACTAATAGCGCCAGTTGTACCGAGAAAGAGCGGTACTGGAGAACAGTAAAGACTGTTTGCTGTGGTACCGGAGCAATGGTACTTTTCCGGTCTCGTTATCAGCTGTATCGCGATGCCATGCAATCGAGGGCCAATTTGACAAAATTATAGGCAATTCTTAATGCAGCAATTTATTCTTTTCTCGCAAATCCTCTTTTTTCCACAATATTTTATAAATTAAACTGCCTTATTAATAATTTCCATCGGTCTATCAATTTTTCGCAAAATTGGCACAAAAAGAGTTGTGAAGTGTTACTTTGTAATATTTTTGAGCGTGAAAGATTTTGATAATAATAAAAAAAATCAAAAGAAACAATGAATTCAGAAACATTCGCGACTAGACATTATCCGTGCCACGGTTATCGGTGTAAACGTTGTCGAAGCGATGCGCGACACGAGGGAGACTGATCGCGCTCAACTCTAATTTTCTATCTCTTCCTCCTCCTCACTTCTTCATGCTAGACCGCCTTCTACGGTTGCAGAGGTGGTAGTGTCTCCTTGAAAATTCATAGTATTTTTCGTAGGATTATGACGTAAAGTGAAAAATATATTACTGGCAAGAGGATAATAAAATGTCTCTCAGAAATAAAGAGATGAAATAAAAAATTCACAAATTTTATGATTGCTGTAATGATTAATTAAATTCCAATTTCTTTGTTTTTGTTTTCTTGTTTACACTATGTTTAGTTGTTACTGCCATACATTTATCGAAGAAATAAAAAATTTTATAGATTGCACAGCAATAAAGCAAAATTATTATAATGTGCATTATCAAATAGATATCTCTTACTTTAATTTAATAAAGGGTATTTAAATTATTAGTTAGTGTAACTACGATTAATTCATTACTAATGTTTTAAATAGTTCTTTAAGTACAATTTAAAATTAATCAGTAGAAAGTGAAATTACTCGTAATTTATAGGTGACTTTAGGTTTTCTGATTGTGCGTATGTGATCACATGCTTAATAAAATAAAAACTGCTTAAAGGACATTATTATAAGAATTCGTTAGATGCAATGGTAATTTATTTAAGATTGTCAAATCTTGATTTAACATTGCTCTAATTAACATAATTACAGTAATAATTCCATAATATTTAATTTTTATTATATTTTATTGTATTATAATTATGTATTTTATTTTAAAACAAAATTTATGAAGTTTTTATATCATGTTATAAAACTATATTATACATTGAACTGTATCGACCGCTAATTACTATTGATTCTAAAAATTGGAATAAAATTGGAATCTAAAATTGGAAGAATGGAAATTGACAGTGGAATATAACGTATTATCAATATTTATTTATTTCACTGATCATGACAAAGTAATAATTACGTAAAGCTGTTAAAAGTAAAACCCCGTTATCACTAGATTGTATATTATATTTACAAGTATAGTTTGTATCTGATAAAACTTTTTATGTGACATATTTGTTTTTTCTTTAATATATATATTTTTTCATATATATATATATATAAATATAATTCTGTAAATATATATACACATATGTATGTATCTGTATATATATATCATATTTAATATATATATATATATATATATTTCTTCTGGCGCACAATCGCTTATCGTTCAAAGATCAAGCGAGTAAAGCTAATAAAGTTTTGTTTTTTCCCATTTCTCTTGTTATCATTCAAATAAACAAATTGTAAGCGCCATCACTGCCATAAGAAAAGATTATTGTACCCAAAACCCCGTTCAGTGAAGTAGTCCAAGTAAAATACTCTAGTAACAATAAATTATTAAATATCTATTCACAAATGTATGTATAGGCTATTATTATTACTATCATCATCATCGCCGGACACTGCCATTCTCGCTATCATTCTCGATGTCATTATCACTATTTTTATATACACACCATCTACGGCTTACTGTATCTGTGTGTTATTAATGTGGTGACCGGAAGTTTACGAGATTTCATGGTGAAATTGTAAGAATTGAAATATATTGAGACGATAGTCACCTGTGGGTCGCCATGAACACCCATCCCGAGTAACTATCAAAGTTCACCATAAAATCTAATTGTTAACAATTCATTTTAGTTATTATCAATAAATGATTATCTATAATACTAAATAAACCTTGTGTTACAAAATGAATTTTCTCTATGACATGTTCTCGGATAGAGATATCATATATTTATTTGTGAATCATTTTGAGCGAGTTACACCAATAGTTAACTAGCCATCTACAATAGTCAGTATACAAAAATAATAGATTAAGCACACATAAAATGTAAAATATATTACTATTTTAAACAAATGTCATTTAATTGTAGGTCCTTCCTGGATTACATTGTTAATTACAATAGTAAAATAAAGATTTAATCATTTAAACGATTAATGTTGATTATTGGTGTAACTTCTCTAGATCTGTTAATATAAATGCTTGATAAAACGGTATTGACATCTAACAAACATCATGGGTAGAACCTCTTGGAGGTCGACGCAGTTTGACATAAAAAATGAAAATATTATGATTATTATCAACTGTCACGCTTTAAAATTCAATATATAATCACGCATCTAATCATTTTGCTTCATTCGGACGCGTAAGAGTGAACGTTTACGCGCGCGGCTTGTGCGCGTGTATGTATCTCATAATATAAATCTTCCTATTTGCTTGTCTGTCTATCTGTATGGCGTGTTTGTTTGTTTGTTTGTTTGTGTGTGTGTGTGTGTGTGTGTGTGTGTGTGTGTATTTTCTATTTTGCGTTTGAAGATGATGTTTCGAAGTTTCGCCTTTGGAACCTCATCTTACCGGAAAACCGTCGCGCGACAGCTCTGCACTATGTATACATTAAGTAACTTTCCGGCCGTTCTCATCATCGATAAGTGCGATGCTGATTGTTCAGAAATTCAATAAGAGACACCATCAGGGTCAAATTTACTGAAGAAAAATGTTTTACAAAAGCTCATTGACAAGATAGACTTGTAAAAAGTCAGAGTCTCTTTGCGATTGCTGGTCACGATTGATATCATCGAAAAGAAGTTCCTTTAACTGTAATTACAATTGTAAGTCCGATCTTGAACACGAAAATGCGTGTCTTTGAGATATATGCTACTGTTTGTATATAATTGTTTCTCGTTGGATATTGCAAAATCCAATTTGGACGAATCAATTCTTACAATCGGTATAAGCGCTATACAATTATATGGTGTTTCTTCTATAATCCCATTTTGTATCTCGCACTCTTCGTATAGAATATGACTTTCTTGTAATCTTTATATACACGTCTCTACCTCTCATTATAGACTTTGCTAGTTAATTGTCTGCTAGTTAACTGTTTTACAACTACGATATTCGACTGACTTGCAATGATGATCGCTGTCATTGCAAACGCGCGACCGCATTCGTACATTCGGTCTACACCCTTTTCAGGTTTCCTTTTTATTTCATTCTACTTCGATTAGCACACCATACAAAAAGCACGCACGCTCGCACCGCAATCGTGAGAATGACAGTATGGTTTGTATACTTTCTCCTTTCTTCTTTTGTTAAAAAATTCAGGAGGTTGGGAGAGATTGGACTCGATAGCAAAATTGTTGGATAGTCAAAATCTTTTTGAGGAATATCGATAAAAAACGGGGAAAGAGACGCGTTAAGCGTTAGTATTACAAAACGTTGTACGGGACGTTTTTTTAAACGATGGTTCGACGATTTATCGCTATTTTCCTCTCTTCCTTTTTTTTTTTTTCCTTTTGATTGACTGACAGTTTCATTTTCAAAGTTTTACAAAACAAGTTTATATTGATGCTTGGTTTCGACGTAAAATTTATCCTCATTCGGCTATATAAAAGCAGTTCACACATAGTTTCAATTAATACACTGAGTTCGTACGCGATCAAAACTTAACATTTGAAAAAATAGAGACATTCTCACAGAATACTAAATAGGTGTCATTAACAATTTGATACATTAATTTAATCTATGTCTTATAATGTGTGATAAAAGATTCCACAATTATTAAGATTTTCTTAATAAGGCTTTTTCATCTATTTTTGGAGAGTTATATTTCTCCAGCGTAACTATGAAAAAGAAAGGAATGCCAATGAATCATCGATTACCCTGCCGTGATTTTTAGAGAATATTAAAAATGTTAACGTTACAAATATACATTTAAGTGTGAAGTAGATCGCTTGGCGCTGCGGCTAAAAAAGGAAATGGGCGAAGCATTCATATTCTCGCAATGTATTTTTCTATTTTCATAGCTCTTTCGCTCATTCTCTCACATTCTCACTTTCTTTATTTTTGCTATTTACAAACGTGTGGCTTAAATAACGTTCGTTAATATTTTCATTCTGCTTTTTCTCATTTTCAATTTTCTTGCTCTCTCTCTCTCTCTCTCTCTCTCTCACTTTTTCTCTCTTTTGTTTACCTAAAATAATTATTTTAATTAAAAATGTATCGATTCGCTCTAAGCGCGAAGGACAGACTAATTCTTCTTTATCTTCTTCATTAATTTGCGATTTTATTATGTACACAATGGGTCAAAATTGAATTAAATCGCGTAATAACGTTTACAAATAAACATCTTTTATATCGTAAAGTGAACATTTGTATGGTAACGAATGAAAGAAAATAGAAGAAGAACAAATGCAATCGTATATAGTTTCGTCGCAACAGAAATTTTTTTGTAATCAATATTATGAAAAGAAAAAATTAGCTAAAAAAGCGATTTGTCAATTCGAAGTAAATTTCTTCAGTCTTCTATCGCTGTATAATTTTGATCCACTGTGTATCGTCGTATTATTATATATTATATATACACATATGTATATATATCTGTCGGTTCCATCACTGCCGAACGAGAAGTGTCAGTATCGTTCAATATGTCGTAAAGTTGTCTGGCTTATAAAGAGGGAGCTGGGCGGTACAGAGGATTGCTCTTGATAGGAAGCACATGAGCCTCGGAGTTGAATACCCAGTCGTCCAGACTTATGAGATCGTCGTCGCTGAAGAGCAAATAAAGATACTGGAAAAAGACAAAATATTTTCACGTTTCATATTTTCATATCTATTATTATACTTTCATGACATACGTATATTTTTATTAAACTCTCCTTTTCTCTTCCTATTTCATATATTAAATAATATTCTTTATTGGAAAATTTCTTTACCGTTATATTATGTCTACTTCATACTGCTTCTATAAATGCTTTAATTAAAAAAATATTATAAATATTCTTATATATTATATATTATAAATCTCTGATTAAAAAATATTATGTCAAAAATATTTATAGATTAAATAGAAAATAAATAGTAATTACACAAGAAAAAAAACAATTTTGATAAAGTATTTAAAAATTTAGATAGATATAAAAATAATTTTGTATCTACTAGATAAATCTAATAATAATTTTGTTGAAGGAAACAATTTTGCCAAAATAATTATTTAGGAAATTCAAGCATGATGAATAATGCTGAAAAAATTTTGACATTCTAACAATTAGTTTGAATGTTCATAATTATTTTGATAGCTTAAAAAAAATTGATTTTCAGATCTGTATAGCTAAATTTTTTAATACTTCAGTAAAACCATTCTTTCCATGCAATAATATCAATCAAATTGCTATGCTGCACTATGTTAAATGTAAATTTATAAGGTACCGTCATTGTTGAAAAGGTCTAAATATTAAACATTTAAGTCTCTTTACGAGAAGTAGCGTAAACCGAATCGAAACGATGCTTCGTTTCTCTTTACCTTCAATGTCTCAGCAAAGAAGTAACTTTGTTGGACGTCGTCTTTCGCCGAGTCGACTAGGTAAACATTGTTAAGTCCCGTGAATCCTCCGGGAACCCGACAATGTTTTTCCAATGCTTGAACCGCCTCCCAACCCCATTCGCGATATTTTGGATCCTTTGTTAACCGCCACATTACGAAGTAAGATTCGAAGGTCTGTGAAGAAGTATATCTTGTTTTACTATCCAGTAAATATATCGATTTTCTTATAAAAAATGATCTTCAATAAAACAAAAAAAAAAAACATTTTCTATGTACTTTATAATTTTTGTTATAAATTTACAAACTTAATAATTAAAATAACTAAATTTTCTATTTAATAAAAAAAAAAAAAAGAAAATATACCATACTTACATAAATAAAGTTAAATCCATGTACAATATATTTTTTCACGGTTTAACATGGTTTGTAAAATAATTTTCTAGTATAGAAGACTCTCTTTCTCTTTCTTTCGCTTTTAGAAAAAACGTAACTGTGATAGTAATATTTTATAAATTTGCGCTAGTTTTACTTTGGGACGAGAGCGCGGGCAACTTACCTCAGGTCGTAAAATGTAATATTTTTCGCCATTCTTTAAGCTTCTGGCCTCGTTGCCTTCGATAAAGTGGAAAGCTTCAGGGCCGAGTTTCGTAGCGCTTCTGTCATATGATTCATGACATGTGTTGGTCAAACCAGCGGCGATGTTCATGTATTTTTCAGACAACTCGTTTTCTAGAGTTTTAGCGCCCAGAGCAAACATACCGCCTACAAAACATGCAATAACAATTTTATTGACAAGGTTTCTTTTATTGAATTAGCTTTTCATATATTAATATAAAGACGTAAAGTAATTCTGTTTTATAATGATAAAGCTTTTTAATCAAGTAAACAATTCTATAATTAATATCATAAACTTGAACAGTAGTTACTTAATGGAGTGTTTGTAAATGGATCATTTTGTAGCATGTACTTGAGTATCATCGTGCAAGGTTGACTATTATGCTGTAAAAATCATGGTAATTACATTAATGCAAATTAAAACTTACCAGCGAAGCAAGCCAAGTGACCCATTTTATGCTCAAGCCTGTCATATTTTAAATCCGACACGTAGACAAGTTTGCCAGGGGATGTTTTGATCATATGCTGGGTTATAGCGGCTATAGCGTCGTCGTACATTTCACGTGCCTCGACATCTTCCTTGCCTGACTGGATCCAAGCTTTCAATAGGTACTCATAGAAACTGTCGCCGAGCCCACCGAGCGACATATGATCTGCAATTCCCACAAAAAAATGTCTGTCGTAAGTAAATTTTATGCGAATTCCAAAAGAATTCATATGACATATTTTTCTGTAAAATTATTAAGCGAGGCCCCCGAGTTTTCTTTTTTATATAAAAATTCCTTAATAAAATTAATTTCTGATATAATTTCTAGATAAATATGTCAGCTAATAGCTTTTGTATTATGAGAGATTAAAGAATAAAAAGCTTTCCGAATTGATAAAAAGAACTTTACTTGGATTAAAGAATAAGAGAATAAAGAAAAGTACGGACAATCTAGGATTATAATATCATCTTATTATATTCTCTTCAGATTAAAGAAAAAAAAATTATACATACATCTTTTAAAATATTGTCAAAGTTAATTTATAATTAATTATTAAATAAATTTATGTAATCTGTACAATAATGTGTATCAGTATCGATATATTTAATAAAGATCTTTATTTATAATAATTAGTATTAATAATAAAATATTCATAAAAATCATTAAACTCAATTTTAGATTTTAAAGTATTAATATTCTTTTAAGTAAAGATTAAAAGATTAAAAATGAGCACACATACTTCGTCATGCGTTATATTAAAGAATGTTTTAGAATATGAATAATAAGATTTGCTTTCTCCCATTCAAAAATTTCTAGTATACCAATTTTGCTCTTATTTTCTATTCTTTTCATATTAAAGCGAAATTAAAGACTTGCGACTCATTTTGCAAGATAAAACGGCTGTTCGCGACTGCTTTAAAAGAGATACCGCTTTAAAACGGATAGCAACGGTAATCGTTGCGAGATAAAGGAATGTGGAAGAATCTTTTCCCGGAAAAAGAGGGGTTTGTTCTCCACGCTACAGGTCTACTTCGATCACGTTTGAGGAAGGCGAAACAAAGGGCACATTTCTTGATTTCTATACTGGGTTAATTCCTAGGTGCCTTGGGCTAACTAAAAGCATGATTCTCACTTTATGTGAAATCTGCGATGAAAGGACGTACAGTTCCGCTTTATCTTTCTGTTCGCTACTTCCTCGAATTGTAAGAACATTACCTCGCGAAAATGCATGAAGATCGGAGCCACATGAGATTAAACTTCTGTTAAACGTTAATTATGATTCGAAGTTGACAAGTTACATTTTGAACACCGATTTTTATTCGCAAAGGCACAATACGCGGTTTATTCATTTTACATTTTGTTATTAAAAAAAAATCAATATAGTATATTGATTTTCATTGTTGCACGTAAAGAAAAAAGTGCTCAATCAAACAAGATTGATGACGTTTTCGTTGACAGAGATATAAAGGTTCACCAAATAAATTGCATATTGTTGTGACAATACATTTTAGCAGTGAAATTGCATTAAATAATGAGAGTTATTACATCAAATACATGTCGTATTAATTATATAAAAATTTTTTGGTTTGTTATATATTTGTTTAAATGTGTCTTAATCGAAAAGTCAATGTTGTTTATTTGAACAACGTTTTCTTTTTAGTATACTTATAATAAGGGTGTCCAACAGAAAGAAATCGTGAAAAATGTGGGAAGGATGTGCGATGAGGCTAGATACTGAACGGTTTGGATGATATATATCCTCAAGGATTTCGTCATACGTGCAGTAAGAAGGTACACAGGCGCAGGGGATTTAGGATCCGAGGCAGAGGATGATAAATGCGATATTCAAGATCGGCTATGGCGAAGACGGTGCCGACGCCGCAGCGGAGCATCTTTTCGCGAAGCAACATGAGCCAATGCTTGCAATACGAAATAGTGAAAAAAGCGGGACGATTGAAGTTGTGCGGGTTTTCTACTTTGCGGCTATGCGAAAACTATTTTCACGATATGATCGATAGCAATCAGATTAAAAAAAGTATATTTTGTGCAAAATATACGCATACAAAGATTTATTAAATGTAATTATAATAATAAGCCTCAAATACATTTATATCGATTTGATATTGTCTGCTTGAAGACATTCAAAGATTTTTTAAAATCACGAATTTAAAATGCAAATATGAATATGAAAATATTGTTGTCATTCATGTCTACACGAAAATAATAGTGAGAATAAAGCAATTAATTCTATGATGTAGAAACGGATATGTATACCTATCTGTAAAAACGACAGAAACAATATTGTACATTTTCAAAATACAATGCTTTATAATGAATGATTTGTAAATAATTTTCTAAGTAAATTATCTTTGCTCGCTGGAATATGCGCGCACACACAACACACACACACACACACACATTTGCGAATATTAATAAAAAATATAGAAAATACATATAAATATAACGCAAATTATTGAGACACTTACGTTGACCCCATTTTCCTGTTCTTGGATGAATATAATTCGGATATAGACCCTTTGGTTTATCCAGACTCTTCAAGACTTTCCTTACATTTTCAACTTTGCTCTTGAACACTGGATTATTCGTTATATCGCTCAAGTAGGTAAACTCAAGATGCATTGTCCCGATTTCGGATAAAATACTGCAACCGCTGCTCGCCCAACCGTAATTCTTGCTGGCCTGAAAAATAAGCGCAAGTTTTCAGATAGAACAACACATCGCAAGATATAAAATGTTCAACGTAATAAACGGATAGATTAAGTATAACAATATTTTTTTATTTTCTAAACAAGCTAATGTGTTTTATTTTCACAAAAAAGGGCGGAATCATATGCACACACCCAATATATATATATATATATATATATTACAAATTTACTAATTCCCATAATAAAACTAACGTACTAAAGAAATCTAGAGTATGGTTTAAATTTAAATTTTATAAAAGGATTTACTTGAATATCCATTTTTTTAATTTATGAAAAGGAAATAGATCGTACAAACAGTATAAACCATGAGAGCAAGCAAAATATGCTAATTCTTTATGAAAAGGATCAGGATATTAAGAATAATATGGAAATTTTGTAGAATGAAATCTGATGTGGTTTTAAATAATCAAAAGCCATTGTTGAAGCGAAAATCCAAAGAAACTAATAGGCAATCTGTTCATCGGATATCGCCCAAATATTGTAACGAGGATTTAGGTAGATGAAGTTCGGTTGGGAGAACCATAATCGCTTTATAATTTAATCTAGCCAATTAACCTACCCACTATAATTTCATGGCGGTAAGATAGACGAGCATGCGTGCGATGTAACGTTTGCATATGTCTTCTGTTGTTAAACGGAAAAGGAGAACAGAAATTTCTCATTGCTATGAATATATCGTAACAAGTTGTTAAATTTGTTATAACAAATGTTACGTATTTAATTGATACAAAAGACAAATTTTCGTAACTTTTATTGTTCTATATATGATAGTTATTTAAATTGATAGCTGTAAAAATATTTTTAAAAATATCATTGCGTATTATTTTTTTCATATATAAAAGAAAATGGGGAAAGAAGAAAATGCACTTCGTTCGTGTAAAATAATCACATAGAATAATAAAAAAAATATATAAAACTTTTTGAACCAATCAAAATTTTTCATTATTCTTTTCTTTCATATCATTCCAAATTAATGAACAATTATGGCCCGGAGATAGACACACGGTAATTAGCCGCGTCCATTGAAAACATTAATACGAACTATGAAGTCAAGCAGATAGAATTAATCGTCATATATACGTTGCGTAATGATTTACTCTGAATCTTTTCCCTTTCTGTTTTTTTGGTACTCTCGACATGTGCGAACTTTTCTTCGATAAAATTGCATATGAAATTCGATTGTTGCTGCACATTTGTCGATTTTAATTTATGTACGGTTATAAATTATCTAATTAAAAATTATGTAAGACAATTTATAAAGATATCTCAATTATATTTTTTTTTCTTCACGCTATAAAAAACTTTTTAATTTTGTATGTATTATTTTCGTCAATGGATATGTTCTCTTTTCAAGAGTTTGATAAAATAACAAGATAACTATCAACAATAATCATATAATTAATCGACACGGCACGGGCGTAACAATACAATATAATAATCATAAAATAATATATTCTTAGATTAGTTTTTATTCATTTGTATAACATTCTTTACGTGGTTATAATTATATTAGATAAGTATTATTGCTCTACACATTTTAAAAGCACTTTATCATCAATTAAATTTTAATTGATAATTTTATTATTAATTTTAATGAAATAATGGTAAATGGTTTAATTAATTATTAAACATATAACATATATTAATAAAATTAATTTTAGTTTAAATTTTGATAACACTAAAGATGTAATAAAAACTTTTTTTTATTAAAATTAATCGCTCGTTCTTTTAAGAGAAATCTTTCTCTTTGTTTAAATTATATATAATCACTTGTCGTTATTTTATCGCCAAATAATCGATATAAGTAAATATATAAAAAAAAGAAAAAATAACATATATGAACGAATATATCGTCTATCATATAGAGTCAAAGGCCGTATCCGCCTCCTGCGGCCTCATTATCCATCCAATTAAGAATTTGCATATTAATCGCGTACCGCTATTTCGACAGACGTGACTTGATGGAATCGTTTCAATTAAAGCGTAACATCATTGCCACATACGATGTTTAACAAGAAGCGCGCAAGAACGGAAACGCCACGCCTTGAAGTAGCTTTTTAAAGTATAGTCATGCGAGCGTGAGCTGTGTGTAATTGTGTTTTATATTTATACCGCGTGTTTCATTCTTTAACAGATCAATGGATCGTTTGCTGATGAGAACTATAGCAAGCAAAATGAAAACATGTAAGAAAATCACTTATTAATTTTATTACAATCTCTTGATTTTTATTAAGCAAAAAAATTATATATTATACTTTAGATTTTTATTAAACAAAATGTGAGGAAAAAATATAATAGCACAATTTAATAATAATACTATAATATTTTAATAAGTTTATTTGTAAATAACTGTAAACAACAAATGCATTGAAAATACATTTACTTTAAAATAAAATATCAAAATTAAATTAAAAAATAGTTTTCACTAGTGTTTCATCAAGATAAGATTTCTTGTCTTGAAGAGCATTTCTTATCTTGTCTTGATTTTCAAGACAAGAAATTTCGTTCTTCTTGTCTTGACCATTTCTTGACATTGTATTTCTTGTCTTGAATTCAAGAATCTTTAAATTTCTTGAAATTTTTTGATTTTTGAAGTAGGGCCCTTGTGGTTAAATTCATGGTTTAAAAGTGTGCCTATAATGTCCATTATGCACAAATCTATTAATAAAGATTAAAAATATTTCTCAAATTATCATTTTTAATATCATGAGGTTACTGCCAAATGTAACTATTTCAGATTATTAGATTCCTGAGATTATTAGAATATAATTATTATTATTATAATTATACACTATATATTTTAATCATTCCCGATTTAATTGATACTATTAGTAGAAGTACGCAAATGTTTATACATAATATATTTTTGCCAGTAATCTCGCAATATTCATTTTATATATATTCCTTTACATAAACATAAAGGTTAATATCCAGTACAATAAAGACGTATCGGTGAGTATGATTTAATTTGGTTAGATCAGGGACTTCACTTTTTCAATAATCGATTTACACTGTGTTCATATGCTATTTTGCTATT